ACAACTTACACTTTGGTTGTTTCATTGGCAGTTTTTTCAGAAGCCCTAGTTGCTTATAAAATGTCATTTAATAATATGTACATTTGTTATTAAAATAAATTTTATCTTTAAAATTCTCTCATCACTGGCTCCTTTCCCCCTGCCAACCTGATCCAGCTAATACCCATTCATCTTCAAGTCACAGAAATCTTATCTCACACTGGCTTAGACCAAAATTTGATGACATCACATGACAGAAAAGATCACGGGTGCTGCTGGCTTCAGTCAAAACAGGAAAACGTTCAAATCATATCCTCAAGAATCTATTCTTTCCTCCACGCCCACCCCCTCATCTCCTCCCACCCCCCGGTTCAGCTTTTCCATGCAGGCCTCATTCTGTGGTCAACACTCCCTAAAAACTGGAAAAGTATTTGCTGACAAGGCCAAACACACACCTTGTCGGCTTAGCATTCCAGCACAAAGAGCTTCTCTCTAATAACTCCTTCAAAAGTCCCTTCATTAGCTCTAATTTGTCAAAAAATGGCACATATCTCCAACTGAACCACTTACTAGAGCCAGGGCAGTGAACTAGCAGATGGCAAGGCCTGAGCTCACTGCCCACAGTTGGATCTGGGGTAGAATTGATATACCCTTCACTTTACCACTGCTTTATCTAAGAAAATAGTTAACCATAGCTTCCTCAATCATTCACTCATACACTCAACAAATAACTATGTACATCTTTCAGTATACTAAGCAATTTTTTAGGTTATGGGATATAGCAGTGGCAAAATGACAGTGCCCGTGTAGCCTTTATTTTAGTGAGGAGAGCGACAATAAGCAGATTGCCAAATAGTGATAAAACCAAAAAAATTTATAAGTACAATATTTTAAATAATCTAAATCAGTGAAAGAGGAAAGAAAGTTCAGTGGATAGGCCATTGTTAATAGTGGCCAATGAAGGCTTCATTAAAGGGTCACACTTGAGCAAAAGATGAGGGAGGTAACCATGCAGAGAGATTTCTGGTCAAAAAGTATTCCCAGCAAAAGGACCATTAGAAGGAAAACAAAAGAACTATGCCTGCTGTTTTAGAGAAATGACATATTTGCATGCGTAAGGTAAACTCTATTAGAAAGGGGGAAACAGTGATACTGAAGAGAGAGGAACATTCCTGGAGTGATGTTTTTGAAAAAGTGAGAGCAGATGATCTATACTGCTATGGAGGTGAGCCTTAGATAACAGTGTGAACAGTATAACCATACTAATAAGAGATAAGGAAGCTATATAGGCCGGATACAGGTCTTGGGGTGAAGTGATGAAAGAAGTTTGTGGAAATTCTCTTCGATTGCTTCTATTTTTCTCTGAAAAAAAAGCAGCAAAGGTATACACAGAGATTGAGAATGATGTAGGAGATATCTGCATTCAATGTCAATATAAAAAAATATGAAATAGCCACTTAGGGGAATGATGGAGTAAATGGACTAGGCAAGTACATTAGGAATACCTAGAAGCATCACAGTGGTCCATTTGAAAGGAGCCATCTTTAAAGTCAGATTAGGCATCATGGATACAGGTTTTTCTCTAGCCACATTCAGTGTCTTGGGTACAGGAACAAAGTTATGGAGAATTGACTCTAACCAGGATTATTGTTTGTCTAAAGCATGTAATAAAATGAAAGACGAACAAGGAAACTGAGAAAGTATGCAAGATAGTGATTCCAACGATGGACCACGGAATTTAACCTGGTAAGGCAGAAAGTGAGGACACTACGGGGGTTTGAGACTGAAAGATGGTGGTGAGATCAATGGGTTGTGGGTACTGAGAAATACAAAGATGGTTGGGTCCAAGCAAATGAGAAGGACAGATTTGGTGGTTGGACAGTAAAATGGTCGAAATTCTGGAGGTATTATAGCTTAATGAGAATAAAATCGAAGGTACTTCCATGGGCGTAAGTGGCAGAGTAGAGTAAAAGATAAGATCATTGGGGGGTGAGAGGCCGGCGGCAGGGGCCGGCTTCTGGGCTCTGGGGCCCCAGCGCGGCTTCGCTGGTCACCGGTGGGCGTCCGGGCGCCTTCCAGGCGGGCCCCGATCCAAGGCGGAACGCTGAGGTTTCCTGGAGCAGACCTTTAATTTCCGGCAGGCCATGTGGGGTGTGCCACCTCGCTGTGCCAGCCTTTTATTTCCCAGCAGGGTACCATTTGGCAAGTGTCAGCAGAATTTGGCAAAAGGGCTGGCGCTGAGCTCCTGTATGGACGCTAGCAGCACTGGCAGTGCTCCCTCTACAATTAATGATGGCCACAGACGAACCTGTATTTGACCAGCATGCTCCAATTTTTATCGGAAACGTCTGGCCCAACTGTCGTAACTAAATCTAAAGACAGCAATTTGTCATCCCGCTGACTGCCTGTCATCATCTGCTTGGGAAAATCTATAATTTTTGGCTTGTTTCTGACTAAACTGTGGAGTAAATAAATTTATCTTCAGGTAAAAAAATAAATAAATAAATAAGATCATTGGCAGAGAAGAGGAAGGCCCTGAAAGGGCAGGTATTTGAAAATATCATCGCTGGGAATATCAAATCACTGAGGGCTATTAATGCAGGGAGAATGGAGAAGGTTGCTTTGAGCTAGAAGTTAAACTTTCAAGCAATAAGGAGAGAAAGCAGATGTTAGGAGATTAATGCACAGGAAGTGGTAATGACTGGTGTATTCTGATAGCATGTGATGTATGACTGGGGAATTGAGTCTTCTATTCCCTTTCATCAGCCTACTAGGATATGGCTTCTTCCATTTCTCTGTTGAGAATAGCTTGAAAGGATGATAAGAGGTCCTTGAGAGAATGGTACTAGAACTATTAAAAAGGAGGTACAATAAGTGATATGATCAATGTAGGTATTTCTTGCAGTAGAGTCTTAAAAGAGAAAGTAGTGGAAAATATAAAACATTCTTCGCATTTGGGACACTGTTCTTTCTCAACGAGTGAAGGTAGGCGCTGAGACTTGAATAGACAGGAACAAATAAAGACAGTGTTCTGTAAACTTTATGTGAGCTAAGGCTATGCATGCTGAGTTAGATAGGTTTGCTGGACTGTGGGTCTCTGTGAAACTGCACTGAGTATAGTTTTCCACCTTGAGTATCTTTGCTCCACTTTGAGTCACAGCTTTGCATGGGGGAGAAAAGACCTCACACATTTACTGAAATATCTGCTACAATATTTTTTCAAGCCTCATCCTGCTAGACAGTATATAATATTTGGAATTTCTCCACTCTCCATACAACTTATTCCAACTCTTGCTTTAGAAATGACTGACTCTTGTTCCTACTAATTTTGAAATCTGGGGTCCTTGTCTCAGAGACTAAAGACCTCAAAGGTTCATGGCTAGAACTGACTCTGTATAACTGGTTTGCTTTGTAATCTCGTGTACTTTATTTTATGCATCCTATATAATAAAAGGCTAACAGCAAATCTACTAAATGGTGGAATGACCGGTCATTATGACACACACTAACCATCAGGGGGCAGAAGCTCAATGCAGGAGCTGCCCCTGATGGTCAGTGTGCTCCCTCAGGGGGAGCGCCACTCAGCCAGAAGTTGGGCTCACAGCTGGCGAGCTCAGCTGTGGTCCCGGGAGCCTCTCCCACCTCCGCGGCAGATCTAAGTGTCCCTCCTGCGATGTCCACCTGCCAGCTTAGGCCCATTTCGTGCTAAGCGGGCAGGCAGACATGCCCAGAGGGGTCCCAGACTGTGAGAGGGCGCAGGCTGGGCTGAGGAACCCCACCTCCCAAGTGTACAAATGTCGTGCACCGGGCATCTAGTTTAAAAATAATTCTGAAAAAGGATCCATAGGTTTTACTAAACAGGCAAAGAGATCTATGATATACACAAAAATGTTAAATGTTTTCTTCGTAAAAGCCCTTTTCTTGGGCCTTTCTGAAAATCCAGCTTCATAATCAACACACTACCTATATTTCTAAGCTTTTCCTGGAACATTCCCACATCCCCAGGACTTCAATATACTCCATCTGTCCCATACCCAAGGTTTTCTCAGTTAAAAAAATAATAACTATGCTTTTCCTTGATCCAGCAATGCTCTCTCCCCTCCATATTAGTTTCTTGTCACTGTTGTAACCTGTACCTTGTAGGTTAAAATGACACAGATCTCTTATTTTACAGTTCTGTTCAGAAGTCCAAAAAGAGTCTGACAGGGCTAAAACCATGGTGTTGCCAGGACTGGTGTCTTCTGCAGGCAGAGAATTCCTGACTTGCCTTTATCAGCTTCTAGAGTTGGCTGTCATTCCTGGATTTTGGCAGCATCCAATCTCTGCTTCAGTCATCACCCTCTCCCACGCTGAACTACTGCCTCCCTCTAACAAGGACCCCGTGACTACATTACCCAGTCAAATAACCCAGGGGAATCTCCCATCTCAAGTTCCTCAATGTGATCACATCTAAAACCTCTCATTACATAAGGTAACATATTCACAGGAATTAGGAATTAGGACATGGACATCTTTGGGGAGCTATTATTCAGCCAACCACACACACCCATTTCATCCTTGGGTTCTTCATCGTCCCTGTACCCTGCACATGTTGCTATAACTGTCAACACAGACAGCAGGCATTTAGGGAGCCGACCTACCCACGCACATTTTTGCAAAGGACAAAAGTCAGGCAGGAGCATAAGAGAGTGGAGCTGGAGAAGCCACCACTTGGACCTGCCCACCCAGGCAGGCAGAGCACACAGAGGCGCTGAAGTTCTGCTAGAGTGGTCCCATTTAAGGGACCTGCAGGTGGAGTTTGGACAAACTTGCTAGAAACAATGCATATTGGGAGCGGGCATGGCCTCCCCCGCCCATTAAGGGGAAGCTGTGGTCAAAAGCTTTTTGTTCCGGAACTGCAACTGCGCTCCTCAGATCCTGGGCGCACCGACTTGACTGTGGTCTCTGTCCTCTGAGCTGCGCTTTCTAGTGACTTGGATTTTCTTCCCGCGAACGTCGGGTTCCTAGAGGTGCCAGGGAAGATGGGAGCCCGATCTGCCAGGAGCCCTGAGCCCCCGTGGCCGCCAGCGCCCTCTCTCTCCTGCTCGGGAGGAGCCCTCCTGGCGGTGCTGATGCTGCTCGCGCTGCCGGCTGCCTGGGGTGAGATGCGGGCGGGCGGGCGTGGGGAGCGGCTCCAGCCTGGACGCAGCCTCCGGATCCCCGCATCCTGGGGGTTCGTTTCCAGTGGGCTCAGCTGCGAGAGGGCGAGGACACGGGGCTCTGCGACCCCCTCTGGGAGAGCGCAGATGCGAAGGTGGCGCTGCATGAAGTCCTTGCCTTCCCTGCTGACCAGGACTGGCTGTGTGAGGACGGGGCACTGATCCGAGTGCCAGAAAGAGGTCTGGGCATTCCACCAGCCTGGGTTCTAATCCTGGAAACTTCTTAGCTGTGGGGAAAGTGACGACCCCTGCCTGCGTCACTTTCCTCTTCTGTGAAATGGCAACGCCCTTAGCCTTACCTCACCAAGCTGCCATCTAAATGGCATAAAGCATGCCAAGGGTCGAACCCAGCGCCTGTCACTTCATTTCTGTTCCCCAGCCATTAGCTCTGCGCTTTCTTCATGGGGGTGTTTGGACCAGCAGCGCTGGGAGGTGCGGTTTTCCCGGGAAATCTGCCCTGTATCCGGCCAGTATTCAGCCCACGCCCTCCCCAGACCAGCACCTCCATCATCAATGCGCACTCACTGAGCAGCTATTTGAGGGCATACCCCTCACAGGGCACTTGGGTTAGGAGAACTAGTGACAGTCCAGACCCCTCAGCGCAGCTGGCCTCCGGGAGAAGGCACCCTGGAAAAGTGGACCCGTTTTAGCCATGAGTTTAGAACAAAATAGAACCATTCTAACCATTATGGAAATTTTGAGGTCATGCCTTCCCTTCCTTCCTTGCTTCCTTCCTTCCTTCCTTCCTTCCTTCCTTCCTTCCTTCTGACTTTAGGTAAACAACTTCAATGAGGGCCCTTCTCTTCTTATTTGTGGCTTTCCCAAAAGACCTTGAGTTGCTGGGACTCCTTGGCCACATCTCAGTTGGAGTGACAGTCTGCTTCTGTTTGCCCAACCTCTTCTGGACAACTGAGCTGGGCTCTTCCCTGTCACTAGACACTTTACATTCTTTATTGGATGGCGTCCTCCCTTATGGGAAAAGAAAAACCAGGTTTTCAGAAAAGTTGGTGTTAATGTTTCATCTCCTTAGACATCAGAAAGTAACCTGTTAGGGGAGGAAATGTAATAGAACCTAAAGTGTTATTTTCAGAAGAGAAGCGTCGCCAGTGAGGTAAGCCAGCTGTTGTCAGTGCTTGGAAATGGCTGTGGACCTTGTGAGTATCTGGCTCCCTTCTTATTAGAATATTGTGATAGTTCCCCCTGTTAACAATCTCAGACACTATTAACTGCCCCCACGTTATTTTACTAAGGTTGCCACACTAGCCTCTGAATGTGAAACAGCCTAAACTAAGCTAAGTAGTGATTTACTTGCCAAAGTAGTTTAGACAAAGAAAGTGTTGATGGAATGCTGACAATGTCACAGCACTTTGGAGTTGAAAGGAAGTATGAGAGAGCTGTGCCTCCAAAGTGGATGCATATAGATCTAGAGTGGTGAGGTTTTATGAAATCTCTATCATTGTGAGACCCGGGTTCTGGTTTGTCCAGTGTCTGCTACATACCAAATGGGGGTCTTAGATCCAGCAAGTCAATTAACATCCCTAACTTCCAGTGTCCATGAGTAGAAAATGAGCATAGTTGACATCCTGTTATCTGAGAGGGCTATTGCAAAAATTGCATGAGGTAGTGTATGTGATAGTGTTTTGGAACCTGAAAATTTCCATGCATATCTAAGGGACCCTGACTAGGAAGTCACTCAAGACAATCTCAAAGCCACAGGAGGTCTGAAATGGAGACATCTCAGCTTCAATGAGTGGAAGGAGCACAGCTTAAGCAGCATTTAAGGAGGGGATCCAAAAAACAGTTGTACAGGATGATTCACAGGGCTATTGGATTGATATACCAAGGAGCACATTAAGGAAGCATGACAGTGTTCAATAAAGCAGTCTCTGTTGCCCTCTCCTGGGCCTCAGGTCAGCTCTCACTCTTGGCCCCTGCTGTGTAGAGATGCAAGGTAGAAAGGAGGGGCATTCCTGTTCGCTTTCTGTGTTTTGTGACATATTTCAGTTTACATGTATATGCTCAGATGAGAAGGTGTGTATGGTGTCCATTGCCTAGTTTTACCTACTGTAACCTTCACCATTGGACAAGTAACTTCAGAGTTGTCTTGCATAGAATCATTGAGTGAAATAATTCTAATCAGGTGAACTCAAGGAAGTAAGAAAATAGCATACCTGACAACTACTCCCCAACACACAGACACACAAACTCATATACAAGCTCTGTCAATCTCATCACAGCTGACCAAAGATTGATAAAAGCAAAAATGTAGAAAGTATCAAGAAACTAGGTGATAGATAGCTTTACTAACAGAGAAACTCTGTTACTGTATATTTGTCTGTTTAAATGTTAGTTAATGATCATATTATCTTATGGTTAGTAAAGCATTTATAATGTTTATTTCATCTCTACCCTATTTCTTTAAATTTCTATTTATATGTAATATACAATATAAGTATCTAGAAGATTTGAGCAAATATGATTAATTGTTAAATGTACCTGACATACCCAAAACACTATACCCACTACCACAGATACACCTTTAAAAAAAAATACATCTGATACAGTTACATCAGTTGACTATATGCTGAGACATACAAGTGTCAATCAATTTCAAAACTTGATAATAAATCTGCTAAAAATTTTCTCAAATGTTTATAAATTATGCAAAACATTGCTACATAAGCCATGGGTCAATGAAGAAATCACAATAGACATTACCAAATATTTTGAATTGAAAATATGCATTTGTACACTGGAAACCTATATAATTTTTTTAACCAATGACACCCCAATAAATTTAATAAAATTAAGAAACCCAAAACCTGAAAATATGGCACATCAAAACTTTGTGAATACAGCTAAGTTTGTGCTCAGAATAAAATAATATGAATGCCTATTTCAGAAATTATGTAAAGCTGAAAATAAAAATATCTGTTACCATCTTAAGAAATTTATTTTAACTCAGAAAATAAGCTCAATAAAATTTTTAAAGGGTAAAATAAAAATAAGTACAAATCAATAAATCCAAAAGTTGATTACTTACAGCCTAATAAAATTGAACAATCTACCCTCCATTTTTTAAATTAAGTAATAAGGTGTGTGGAAAGAAATAGAAGCTTAATCAAAACAAAACAGAATCTATTTCTAATGTAAAATACTTTTCCAATAGCTATTTCTTCTTTATAACATACTAGAGGCCCAGTGCATGAAATTCGTGCACACAGTGGGGTCCCTAAACCTGCGTCCTCTCGCAGTCTAAGAGCCCTGTGGGGATGTCTGACTGACGGCTTAGACCCTATCCCAGGGGCTGGCAGTCAGGCATTCCTCTCGCAGTCTGGGCCTAAGCCGGCAGTCAGACAGCCTTAGCACTGTTGCAGAGGTGGGAGAGGCTCCCGCGACTACCACTGCACTCACCAGCCATGAGCCCAACTCATGGCTTCTGGCTGAGCGGCACTCTTTCTGTGGGAGTGCACTGACCACCATTGAGCGTTGAGCGTCTGCCCACTGGTGGTCAGTGCGCATCATAGTGACTGGTTGTTCTGTTGTTTGGTCAATTTACATATTAGCCTTTTATTACATAAAATTGTTTAAGTCTACATGGTATTTTTATTAGTTTAACTTAAAACTTTAGATCTTAAGAAGTAAATGAGTCTAATATTTAATTCAAGATATTCATTATAAAATACTAGTGGCCTGGTGCACAAAATTCATGCATGGAGGGGGGTTCCCTCAGCCCAACCTTCACCCTCTCCAATGAGGGACCCTTTGGGGGATGTCCGACTGCCGATCCCTGTGGGATCAGGCCTAAACCAGCAGTCAGACATCCCTCTCACAATATGGGACTGCTAGCTCCTAACCGCTCACCTTTCTGCCTGCCTGATTGCCCCTAACTGCCTCTGCCTGCCTGCCAGATTGCCCCTAACCCCTCTGCCTGCCTGCCTGATCACCCCTAACCTTTCTGCCTGCCTGCCTAATCGCCCCTAACTGCCCTCCCCGGCCAGCCTGATCTCACCCCCAACTGCCCTCCCCTGCCGGTCAATTTGGTTCTGATTAGTCAGTTTCTATGCCAGTCAGCATCAAAAGCTCTGCCTCCTAGGCAGCCATTGGCTCCTCACAGTTCACCCAAATTTGGTTCTGATTGATGGTTTCTATGCCAGACAGTGTCAAAAGCTCTGCCTCCTAGGCAGCCATTGGCTCCTCACAGTTCACCCAGATTTGGTTCTGATTGGTCAGTTTCTATGCCAGTCAGCATCTCTGGGCCTATCTCTGGGCCTGATCAGAGAGGTGGGGCTGATAAGCAGCCCCCGAGGAGGCCCAGAGAGAAACAGAGGCATGGCTGCTGGTAAAGCCCCCAGAGAAAGAGAGGCAACAGCTGATCAACAGTTGCCACGGAGGCTGTGGATCAGACCCTGCCTCTCTCTCCAGGCCTTTCTCTGGGCCTGATCCACAGCCCCTTTGGCAGTCAGTGCTGGGTTGCTACACCCGAACAGGTGGCAGTCAGTGCTGGATCACCACGACAACCCAGCACTGACTGCAGGACTGACTTCTGGTGTTCGGTAGAGCCTTTGGTTGTTACAGACCCTGGGTTTTTATATATTAGGATAGGCCCTCATAAAGTTTAGTTGTTGAGCTTGGTCTGCAAAACATGTGCTGAATTTTTCTGTGCTGATATATTGACTTGGCAACATCTTTTAACAGTTGTGGCCACGACTGAAGGCCAGAGAAGAGGCTGTTGTGCTGCTAGGTCTGGGTGGTCAACTGGGAATGAAGATAGATGGTGAAATGCATGCATGCTGCTTATTACACAAGAGGATGGGGTAAAGGAAGCCAGAGCCCAGGCCCTTTCTGATGGATAAAATGTGAAGCTATGAATTAGTTTTCCTTCAGTGAAAGAACAGATAGATTAGATATATAGATATAGATAAAATAGATATAGATTAGATATAAATATATATTGATATAGATATACCTTAATTGCCTTCAAAATAGCAGGCACTTTTAAAATGGATAGATGCTGTTTTAAAAAGCTCTTTTCTAAAGTTGCTGCTAAGGGAACAATCCTTTTACCAGCATTAAAGTGTTCATTTTCTTTTTCGATCACATCTATGAAACATATTGGAGAAAAAGAGGAGGTGGAATAGAAGTTCCCTCATTGACCCTGATGTCCCTGTGATCTTGGCCTTCAGGTCAATGCCAAGCCCCGCCATATTTTGCATCTGCCATGCCCACAAGATGGACTGATGAGGTTGAGTTTCCCATTGGGACATCTTTGAAGTATAAATGCCGCCCTGGTTACCAGGGGAGAGGTTTCTCTATCACCTGCCTAGAAAACTCGGGTTGGTCAAGCCCTGGAAGCTGTACACGTAAGTAACTCTGGACTGAGAACTCCTCTGTCTCAGTGAAACATCCATAAGAACTGGTGCAATTGTTCAGATTTGGGAATGAAAACATCTATGACTTGTAAGTCTGCCTTGTTAGGACCTGAGGACCAAGAGAGGTCATATCTTCCGACTGCTTTGAGTTCTTGGCACCTTCATTAAAAGTTCATTTCCTAAGAAAAACTGTCATTATAGGGCATGATTGAGGAAAAATCTCCATTCACTAGGCATCTGCCATTTTCACAACTGAAACTGATGAATGACTCAGGAAAGGAAAAAAAAGTGCAAATAAGAACAAAAGCCCAGACTCTGAGACCTTTACTTTGGTTGAATCACAGAGTAAACACTTTGGTAACAAATAAAGGTTACATTTTCCTGGGAGGCATGAGGTGAGGATTAGATAGAACTGGAGGGGAGGTCTTTTTGAAAGTGGTGCTTAGTAGGTG